TGAGTTGCAAACTGACAGCAGTATCTCAGAAAGAGCTGTGCAGTGTGAAAAAGCTACAACTCTCAGTCATGTATACAGAGAATGAATTATCACAGTAAGTGTATATACATTGCATGAAAGTAATGCTTTTTAATAACACTCAGTCTCTGATATCATGAAAATAGAGTCTCTTCATGAGATCTGTTTTTATCAGAAGTCAGAGAATCTTATATTTCTCAAGATCATCTTCATATGCCTTGTCTGTGAAATTGATGAGAGAAATCATTGATTTCAGTATTCTGTTCTTGATGTCATTCAAGTAACAGCAGAGTTCACTCTGATCATACTTTTTAAGTGTATATTTTCTAATCATTCACATTTATACAGATATATACTGATTATTTATTAAGTGATATTAAGATAATAATTCATCACAGCTGTGTTACTCTCACTATGAGAAATATATAATTGATAATAAACATTGTAAAGACTCTGAGAAGTAAGTATTTTGAGAATGCTGCAGCTCTGTGATCTTGATTTTTTTTTGTTTTTATTTTTTATTTTTTTCTTTTTCTTTTCTTTTTTTTTTTTTTTTATTGTGATTTTTTCTTGTGTTTGTTTTGTTTTTTGTTTTTTATTTTTTTTTATATTTTATGTTTTTTTCATAATTAAAATTATATGAATTATGATCTGTGTTCAGAAAAGTAATGATATTTAATAACACTCTCTGTTGAATTTTCAACAAATGAGTACTATGTTATGATATTATGTAAGTAAGAAATGATTTTATAATCTTATTTAATACCATTCTCAATAATGAAATCAGAATGAAAATGTGACTAAGAATTCAAATATATTCTTTATCTGAGACTAGATTTTTATTTGAAAAGTGAATCTGAGACCTTTAATATCTGAAATAATGTGATTTGAGATCAATGTGATGAATACAAACCATGATCAGAAGTAATACTTTTAGACAATGTGATAACTGTAAAGTTTGATTCTGGTCTCAGACACGGTCACATGATCAGTCTATCTATAACTACTCAGTTAACATAGTATAAGAGATTAAAACATTCATTAAAAATCATCATTCAAAAGCTTGTAAATGATGTAAATGATGTTCAAATCACTAATCTAGAAGATACTGCAGCTGAGCTTATCACTGAGCTTTGTAAACTCTGTTATCTATCTAATACAAAAAATCAAATATCTAGACATCTTTATATTAGATCTCAAATACCATTTGAATGTCTATACATGAATATCACACATGACTCTACACAGTGCTATAATAGTGAGTGTTATCTCATACATTTCATATGTGATTATCTACATTTTCATATAGCTATAACAGCTATCTGAAAATCAGAAATCTGAAAAGCTCTTAGATAAGCTATTAATTGAATTAAACATCAATTTAACTGTACTATAAAGATTATTTATATTAATAATAATACTGTAATCAAGAAAGCAGATAATTTCATAAATTAAGTGAATAATGAAGATCTAGAGATGAAGTAGTCTTTAGAGTATATTTATAAGTAAAATGATACAGCAGAGCAAGTAGAAGCAATATTAATAATAAAGATAAAAACTCTACAGATAGAATCTCTTCTATCATAATCACTTTTCTCTGAGATTGCACTTACTGTTATCTATCTAGTGAATTGAATCTCTACTAGAATTCTAGATTGAAAGTTATCTCTATAAGTATTGAAAGAATTTCTACAAATCAAATCTCACTTCTATACTTATCTTTGAATCTACAGATATCACATCTATACAAAGATACTGAATGAAGTTCTTAATAGAAATCACTTACAGAAGCTAGATTTCTGTGCATATATTGAATATCTAGTTGAATATGATTCTACAAACATCTATTGAATTTGAATTTCACACTTAGAACAGATGATAAGAGTAAGAGATGTAATATTTAATGAGAATAGAAAATTCAACTCTGAAGACCTCTATATTAAAAGACAACTAAGAGATTGAGTATCTAAAGAGATGAAGCTTCTATATATAAAAGTTCAAGAATCATCAATGACTTCTATCAATCAATTGAAAGAGATTATAGATGCAGATATTAATGTTTTTCACTCTGAAGAAAATACTCAAAGCTCTGAAAAAATAGAGGAGAAGAATAATAAGTATAAATATTATAATATTTCAATTCTTTCTAATGTTTTAATTCTTTCTACACTAGGTTTAATATCAGAGTCAACAGATTCTGATGTTGATATTAATACTTATTCAGCTGTGATAGATAATTAAACACAGAACATTATATCTAGAGCTTATAATATCAGTGCTGATTTTAATGAAGCTAATATCATTGAAGATTACAGAATATGAAAACACAGAGCTGTTCATCTTATGACAGTTGAAAATGTCAAAGACAATTCTTATTAAATGATTAATAATATATTCTCTCATTCAAATTCTCACACAGACTTTAACAAGTCTCAAAATTTATTTTCTAATACTGTTTTCATAGTTATTAATAATACAGCTACATCAACAGCATTTATATCAACTTTGAGAATTCATAGATCTCAACTATCAGATTCACTGAATCACTGAACAGATATTAAAAAACACTTATATTATAAAGAATTTGAGAATGCTGTTAAGTAAGAATAAGATAATATATCTTTACAGAATATATATGAAATTACTAGCAGATTATAGAGAGATATCTCAATTATTTCTCTATAATAAGTATTTATCTATAAATTTGATAATGAAGATTTTCTTTTAAAATACAAAGCTTATATCTGTATATACAGAGATCTTCAATCAATTACAGATCTTACTATAAAAGCTTATATACTAGCTATCAGAGATCTCTGAATCTTATTAGCTTTAACAGCAGTATTTAATCTAGATATAGAATAGTTAGATGAAATTAATATCTTTATTAATAGTAATATTGATGAGCTAGTATATATGAAACTATCTGATAAATAATGAAAGTTGAAGAAGATGTAAAATTTAAAGTATATAAATTATGTATTAAAACTTCTATAAGTACTATATGAATTATACAGATTACTTCTTCTCTGATTAAATGAACTATCTTCAATATTGAGAACACTAGGCTTTATCTCTATATTAGAGAATTGATGTCTCTTCTCTAATAATTAATTAATTATCTTCTTCTATATGAATAATATCATCATTCTATTATAATGAGAAGATTTAAAAGAAAGAGATTAACTAATCAAAGATCTTAAAAACATCTATAAGATCTGATAGATAAGAGATTTGAAATGATTTCTTAACATGTGAATAATATACAATTATCTCAACTTGAAGCTCTGACTATATCAGAATGTCTATATTAATAAGATAGTTGATATATATTATCTTACACATATCTGCAAGGTATATATCTCACTAACTAATACTCTGTTAGAGCCTTTTAATAAGTCAGTTATATCTGCAAAAATTCATCATTATTAATAATATATTGACTTCTATATTTACTCAGCAGTGATGACTTACTCTGATATTATATATACAGTGAATAAACTAGCTATATTCATGATAAATTCATTAGAATATCACTCATCAGAGATGAATAGAATAATATCTTATTTACATAATATGAAGAATCTTGCTATTTAATATAATAATAACATTGACAGATCTCTACAACTTAATCTCAAACCTGATATTATTGAAGCTATCAGTGATGTCTCTTTTACAGATAATTCAGATTATCACTCTATATAAGAATATATCTTCAAACTATTCAGTGAGACTGTTGATTGAAAATTAAATAGATAGATAATTATAACTATATCTATCACAGAAGCTGAGCTTATTACTATCTCATAAGCTGATAAGAAGTCTATCTGATGAGATAGATTCTTTTAACATATTCAATTTAAATCTGATCACAAGATTTATATTCAATGTGATAACTATCAAACTGTTAATATTCTTATGAAGAAAGATCTCTCTATAATCACAAAGCTCTGTCATGTTGATATATATGAAAGCTGGCTCTGAGAACATGTTCAATTCAGTGATATTACAGTTGATTGAGTGCCTACAGCTCAGATGCTAGTGAATGGCCTCACTAAGACTCTGCCATGCCAGAAATATACAGAATTTGTCAAGATACTAGGCCTAGTTGATATATCAGATATCATCAAGATATAAGCAGAATGATGATATAAATAATCTATCTTGATATAATCTCTACAGATTCATCTACACTCTTTTTATTGCAGCTTCATTTACACTTTCATTTATATGTTACATTCACTGAAGAGGGTGTATCAGGAAAAAGAGATTATATACTACTGAACATCATCAACATTGTATTACTACAATATTTCTCATCATCATCATCAGCTTACTACAATGCTCATTTAATACTCACTTATACTAGCTCTCTTGGCTCGCACATATATTTTACTATAAATAGCTCTATCTTTTGTATGAAATAGATATATTAGATAGTGTACAGATAATATAACAAGCAGATCTTGATACACATAAGATTCATATGTCTCCAACATATTCATCCGTGACACCCAATCCGACAGAATGGTCCGAACCGCCAGCCAGATAGATTTAATTATTATTCCTTAAAACGCCGGTAATTCCGATTTTCAACAGGTCTTCTCATTTCCAGCTTTTGTCTTGAACCAATAATTCCCAATTGCAAGAAAAAATAATAGCTACATTACATGTAAGTTTCCTCAGGCAGTTGGAAATATATTACAGATTACTCTGCCAGTCTCTTGAAACCTCAGTATGACATACAACCCTGCCAATAATAATAATAATAATAATGATAATGATAATTATAGGGACCTAGAACGTATCCGGTAGTTAACTGGTAATAATAATAATAAGGAATAATAATGCGCATAACGTTTCACGTACTGACTGGGGTGCCAATTATGCCGCGTATTAATTTTTATTATTACTTCGACTCGAAGAATAATTATTATTATTTAATAATAATAATAAACTGGCAACCTCTGCCATACCATGCTTCTGGGAATAAATGTACACTTGGAGCTAAATAAGTTAAAAGAGAGATAAGCATTTGTTTCGGCCCAGCGCACTCCATGAATATTATCCTGTGTCTGCCCAACCCGTTCATCGATATCTTCATACTATATACGCAATACTGCGCACATCAATCCTCTCCCTCAAGCATTACAATGCGGCACAATTAGAAACCAAGAGGCCATGCTGAGAATTCCGTGCCAGGACCAGAACTTCAAACAGAATATCCAGCAGCAGACCTGGCATCAATTCTCTCCAGATCAAAGACAAGGCGCGCTCTGGTCTTCCTGTGCATGCATGCTAGGGTGACTTCCACATGTACATGTTACAAGTTTTGCAAAAGATAAAATGTCGCAGGTATCTATCGCAAACCCTTCCGCTGTCCACCGTCGTAGGAGCTGTCGTCGCTTGGCCCTATCGTCTTGAACCACCTCGAACCACGTCCATCGCACTGACACCCGATAAAAACGGATTTTCCACGGTGGCAGATCTACGATCCACACCACCCTGCCTATCCCAGCACGGCCATGGGAAATCTCCTGCACGTCAAAATTGAGAGTGACGATACGGATGAATGGCGGCGGCACCGTTTTCGAAACAGTCATGTTATTAATAATAAGGAGGGCGAAAGACATGTCTCCGCTGCTACATGAAGTCATCCAAGAGCCTGAGAGTGAAAGCTGATTGATGGGGTGTTATGTTATTACAGTGCCTTCAGGCTCCCACCACGTTTGGATGTTTCATCTCATGGCCAGTAGTGAGTTGTGGTGAGGGGAAGGGGTTTGTTTGTTGGATACATGTCCTCCGAGGTAGTTTCCTGCTGAAGCATTTGTCACAGGGGGATCTGATGGTGGTTTCTGTTCTTTTTCTGCAGAGTCACCAGGTCATTGACCAAATTGACCACCCATGAAGAATGCACGCGGCGTTCCCGCTGATCACCGAAGGGGTAGGTTTTTTTTTTTTCCATCGCGGGCCGAGGCAACAGACAAACAGACAGACAAAATCTAGTTCAACATTCACAAGTATCTTGTATAGTCTATAGATAGAGATAGAGATAGCAAGAAACTTAAATCATCTTCACTTCATAGTAACAGAGATATAAATATTCTCCGATAATGAAATATTGCTTTCAGCTCCTGTCCAAGTCAGCTCAAGCAAATGAATGAAGTTACTGCTGATTAAATGTGAAATCTTAGGCTGTTTCATGACATGGCAGTGGTTGCAGGTGGGGTGGTGATAAAAGCTCCTCAGAATAGCTTAAATATTAGCTCAGGTCTGTGTATGATGTTGAACAACAGTACTCTATTCACAGAAAAGATTGCTGCTCTTATCCCTTGATCAATTTGCATTTGATTGACTTCTCATTAACAAGCTAAATTCAAATAAGCTGCATAGCAAACCCAACTCTATCTAATTAATATTTCTGCATTATCAGAAGTAATAGAGAAATCAATAATTTTTAATAAAACCAATTTTTATTTTCATATTTCTACTATTTAACTATAGTTATATGAAGTATCAGATCAAGACAGATACAAGTAGAATGAAATATGATCATGTACAGTAGTACTACATTTAAGTTTCTACACAGCACCAGCACAAACCACTCATACCGAACAACCGAGCAAAAAAAAAAAGCTCTCTATTTTTCTCAAATCAAGCCTTGAAAAACCCTCGCGCCACCGGCCCTTGGGAAAAACGTCAGATGATCCCGCTCCCCGCCCCATATGTAACGGCTGCCATTGGCCCGTCCGTTGTTAGCTGGATTATTATTGCTTGCTTATTAGTCTCTAACTAGCCTCTAGTTAGCCCTGCTGTGACGATGATGATGGCTGGGCGGAAGTGCCGGATAGCTCTTCTCGCTCAGGAGTCAGCCAGCACAGATAGATCAGAGATCATCGAGAGGGGGGGATGAGGACGCTGTTACTAGGGCAGAGAGAGGCACTAGACCCCCCCCGAATACGGGGTACGCGGATATGATTCATACATACGGAGTACGATGCGTAGATAGCTCGTGGCTGGCTTTGAAATGAAATTTCACAGTTCAGTTGTGTAGAAAGTTGTTCATACGTAGCTTATTTTATAATTTAGTTCAGTTGTTCATTTACAATTTTTAAATCGTTTCTTACCATTTTATATTATAGGTTTGTCGATTTCTCCGCTTGGGAAACTACATAACTTTTCATAATCACAACCCTTGAAGAAAAAAGACGAAGATCCCGTCAACTGTCGCATCGGCCATGCCATCATAATTATTTATTCATAGCCAGCCCTAAACTTTAATAAAGGACAGAAAAGAAAAAAGAAATCCACAGTGGAGACTTTTCGGCATCGGGAAGAAGGGTATGTAAAAAGGCAAAAAAAAAAAAAAAAAAAAAAGCGGGGACAATGGCGCCCCAGTTATTATTATTAAGAATGATTCCCTTGCTATAGACTAGACACGATGATGATAGCTGATAACTACAAAGTGACGAAGTTGCCGGATCCAGCCCCATGCTGCTGGCTCTTCAGGTCTCACGACGGTGGTTTTTTAACCATTTATGTCCTAGAGACATCGTCGTCATGAGGAGAGAGAGGAGGGGAGGGGGGGGGGGATTCAGAGAGGCATTTTATTATTATTATTACCTATGATTATGATTATGATTTGTACTGTACATACATAACATAGTTCCCAGAGATACCCGAAGGCCGAAGGGGTCCGCCGTGAGGTCCAAAAAACAAAAAAACAAAAAAGATGAGATGGATGACATGTCAAAGTCATTTTTTTATTTGTTGTGTACAGCGTAGCCTAACTACTGACTGCACTTACTACTACTACAGTCCTACTATGCACAACGCATCGGTATATCATGTGTAGAACCATCATAGCACACCACTATAGCATGGCAAGTATGTAGAAATAATGACGGGAGAAATGCTGCAGAATTTCTATGAGGCATGAGTCCTACTACTCAATGTACATGTACATGTACATTAACTTACATACTCTGTACAAAAAAAAGTAGTGAGTTAGCTGCAGGGAACTGAGGGAGGCAAGGTTTTTTGTTGGTTCAACCTAGCAAGAAGCCTGGACCGCCCAAATAGTAACTAACTAGTTAGTAGTGTAGGGAGTAACTTTAACTAGTTAGTAGTGTAGGGAGTAACTTTAACTAGTTACATAGAAAAGAAAAAAGAAACCTAGCGAGCTGTTTGCCGGGCTAGCTAGTCTAGTCGCAAAACGCTAAATGGGGCATGGGCATCATAGTTGAATAATTATTAATCCGGCGCTTCTACATAGATTATTGTGAGAGAAGGGGAAGAGACGCCTTCTGACCCGATCAGATGAAAAGAAGAAGAGAGAGAGAGAGAGAGAGAGAGAAAGAGAATAAGGAAAGGGAAATCAGCTTCCGATTCCGAGATATTTTATTCAGTGCAAACATTTCTTTTCTTTTTCATTTTCGTTTTTTCATTTGTTATTTTTCAAAATTGCTTCCCCTCTTCTTATCTTCTTATTAATCTTCCTCTTCGCCCTTTCACCTAGCTATAATCATCTAAAAAGCATTTTTGAGAAACGCATGCATCCCCCCCTCCCCTTCCCTTCTGCCTAACCTAATACCTAATAACACCTGTGCCCCCGTGTCTGATCAGCTATCACTCACCACCCTGCAAGCTGATTCACAGGGCCCTTACATTCACCAACTATCCAACCCCCCTCCCCCCTCCCCTTTTCCCCGGCCCAACTTCCCGAGTGTCTCTTGCAGGTTTCCCACGTTGTGTCTTCCCAAACCCACAAGCCTATATATACTGCCATCGCGCACAAGATTCCGGTTACATACTTCTTATCTACTGTGGTCGATAACAGCATATAACTCTCTTCCGCATCCCAGTGGGCGGCCATGCTGCGGACAGCGCCCTTCGCCGCTCCCAAGGGAGGAGCTCTCTGGCTACTCTTGTTCCTGGCAGTCGCCGTTCTCGCACATGGTGACAATGATGCCGCGCATGGCAATACGGATATGGGCATGGGCCATGGTCATGGTGATGGTGGTGGTGGTGGACCGCACAGCTCTAACGGACATAGTAATAGCACGCCGTCATCGTCACCATCATCCAACAGCTCTAGCCCCATGAGCTACTTCGCGTATCAGAAACATGCAGGCTCCATAATAGCCCATGTCGTCCTGATGGTTATCGCGTGGTTCTTCATACTGCCAATTGGTACGCATATAATAAGCTATTCTCAAATGCACACATATTTTGCGAAAGACAGATTGAAAAATGGAAAAAACAAAAAACAAATGGACTTGTCAAAATACAACCAGGAAAAAAAAAAAAGTTTATACATTTTGCTAACCATTGTGCGCCGTTACGCTTGGCTCTTTTTTTTCCTTCTGTAGGTGTCATGTTAAGCGTCGCCCGATCGCGACTTGCCTTACCTGCGCAATTCGTTTTCCTCATCGTAAACGCCTTAGGGTTACTACTAGCAGCGGTGTATAACAGTCAAGTACCTAATCTATACGAAAACAACGTACATAACAAGATCGGCTGGATCGCGACCTGGGTTATGGTCGCGGAGGTTGTCATGGGCCTTTTGTTTGCGTATTCCGGCGGTCGTCAGGGCGCCGACACGTACACTGGCCCGTCCTACGAACGAGTTGCTTTCCTCCCCGTGCCAACTGCGGAGGATGCGCAGAACGAGACTTACCCTGCCGGCCCTTACCATCAGTACCGCTGGTCTGGCGACAGCGGTCAAGGCACTGAACGCAACTCCTCCTCCCTGCGGAGCCGCAGCTGCTCTCCAGAACGTGGCCGACGAATGTCTCGACCAGGCGATCATGATGAGTTTGATGAGAAACCTGAGGATGAAACCAATGATGGCGAAATGCCTATGGTGCCAGGAGCCAACCGGTTCTTCTGGAGTGGTTTTGTGGATAAATTCCTCTCGAGACGGGTCCCTGGAATGCTCTCTAGGCGCGCGCTTAACATCATGAATGTTTTCTATGTCGTCATCGAGAGAACCATTCTAATTCTTGGTTTCATCGCGATAGCGACTGGAGCTGTGGTTTATGGTGGTATCTTCGTAAGTGGATTGGATTGCCGTTCCCTCTCTTATGGTCCATAGCATGGGGGAGGAAGTCAACTATTGTCTTATCTTGTAATAAAATGGATGTCGTGCTAATAATTTCATGCAGCGGGATAATGACATCTTCAACGGTCTTGCCCATTTTATCAAGGGAGGGATCTTCTTCTGGTATGGGTTGCTCACGCTTGGTCGCTGGATGGGATGTTTTGCAGATTTTGGCTGGGCTTGGAACATCAAGCCGTCACGTGCCATGGTGGGGAGATTGCGGGCCTGCATCCCGTCAGGGGAATTTACAGAATCCTTTGTTATCTTCTTATACGGCGCAAGCAACGTCTTTCTCGAACATCTGGCAGCATGGGGCAAATCATGGACTGCGCAGGATTTGGAACATGTGTCGATCTCTGTCATGTTCTTTGGCGGCGGTTTGGTAAGTTCCTTTTTCTTAGTAACTATTATTATTAAACGGTTGAATAGTTAACCCCACTGACGATATAAACAACAGTGTGGTATGCTGGTTGAATCGAAACGAGTTCGAGACTGGATGAATGCTGCTATTTATTCCCCTACTGCTCCTACAGAAGGCTTGCCGTCAGAATCTGTCGAAGTGCCAAAGACTCAACGGGTGCCCCTCAACCCTATCCCTGCACTAATCATCCTGCTCCTTGGCTTGATGATGAGCTCACACCACCAGTCGAGTATGGTGTCCACCATGGTGCACTCTCAGTGGGGAATGCTCCTGGTTGGATTCTCTATTGCTCGAGGTGTGACATACGTCATTCTCTGCCTTAAACCACCGACTTCGCTGCTGCCCTATCGACCACCTTCGGAACTTATTGCTTCCTTCTGCCTCATTTCCGGAGGTCTCATTTTCATGCTGAGTGTAAGTGTTGGTTGATATGAAAAAAAAAAACACATTTGCCCTACCTATTCAGTTGTGTGTTCTTAGAAGCCCATGCCACTTCTCAATTTTTATCTTTTGCTAACGAAACTTCCCTTTTGCTCAGACAAGGAACGTTGTTGAGGCAATGGAACATTACGACCTTCACTCCATGTTCGTATTCACAGTTGCCATGGGTTTCACAGCTTTCATAATGGCGTGGGAAATCTTGTGTATCTCACTCAAGGCATGGGTTACTAAGAAACCAGCGCTCGCCGTCCCACCCCCAGCTGACACGTACCGGTTCCCTGCTTAGAGAAGCAGGAGAAGGAAAAGAAGACAGAAAAAAAAAATGATGAAAAGCAACGTCCCAATTTCATTCCCCGTTCCCGCGTTTTTACTCTGCGTGCATCTGGCGACGGCGGTATCTCCCATTGCCCTCCTGATTTTAGCGATCTGACACGACAATTTTTGTCCCTCAGAAAAGTTGCAGGGCCTTCCCTGTTAATAATACCCTCATATGTTTGAACAGGAGAGAGAGTCGCTCCCCCTCTCTTTACGTTATGCCCCCTTTTTTATTTTATTTTATATTTTATTTTTTTTATTGACCATTTATGTTTTGAAATGTTAGCACCCATGATGGAAGAAGAGATGAAGGACGAATCAAAGATTTTTAAAACAGGAAATATGAAGAACAAAGATAACCTCCCCCCACATTTCCCCGTCTCCAGACTATCTCTATCTCCCCTTCCCCCCCCGCCCCTCTCCTCTCACTCAAATTTCATCATTAGAGAAGTGAAGACTCCAAGTGTGTGCAGCAGCATCTATATGTGTGATGTATTTTCCTTTCGTGTCTATTTCTTTTTTTTCTTATGATACCAAACTGATTTCACTTTCTCCGTCTTCCTTTCTTTCTCCCTTAAATCGATCTAGGGATAGAGCTAGGTACACCTGCCCGGTCCCGGTGACGTTTATGATTATCATTAATCTTTCCGCATTATGCTTTATAGCCCGCCCACCTGCAAACTGTATACCCCCTTCCCCCTTAAATAGAACGATATACCCCTGATAGTCTATGTTGTCTACGGAGTACACCCTGGACAGCTCCCAGTTGATAGTGATAGTTTTTTTTTTTTTTTTTTTTTTTTTTTTGGATATCTTTGCCTCATTTTTTCCCGCTCCCGAGGTCTTCACGTATTTAATCACCCCTTTCGATTCTTCTTATGGCTTTCTTTAAGCTATGTAGCTCCGTTTCCCAGTGTCGGGCCATCATGTTGATGCGGAGGACTAGGACTAGAGATGGAAAGATTGACCACCATTATATGTATGTACAGCCATGTTTCATTTGTGTCAGCTAGGCGCGGAAAACATGTCGTAGGGTAACTGGTTTATCTGAAGCTAGGTATTGTTATTGGCCCCACCCACTCTCCGCTTTTCAATGGTAGTATATTTATACATATACATAGCCGCGCGCCATATATCCGCCACTTAGCAATATGCAACAACCCAAGACAACACAGCTACAACGAGGAATGAGGTGGGGAGTAAGTAGCTAATAATAATTTTTTGACTGGGTGCGCGGATAGACATGCATGGTCCACGGGGTGTATGTATGTATGTATGTATGTATGTATGTACCCCGCTACGGAAGCCGGCGCTGTCAACTTCAGACCTGTGGAGGATACTCTTCTCTGCCTGAGCGAGAGGTAGTCCAATAACTACAAATAAGAGTAATTCATGTGTTTTTTTAATTCTTCTTCCTAGGCTGTTGTGATGGTTTTTTTTTTTTTTTTTTTTTTTTTGCAAAAGAGCAAAGTATAGATTCACGACTATGATTCCTTTTGTGTGTATATTTTGCAAATCTTCCTTAACGTCCTGGCTGGTTCTCTATATAGTTAATGTCCGGGCTGGATCAGGATGTGTCCTTGGCAGATAGCCGCAAATGGCTTCGGCAATCCGAACCTTGTTGCCTGAAGGAGTTGCTTTCATTGTACATGTACTGTACATCATGTTATCATTTTTATAGTAACGATAGAAGTTGTCCATTCGCATAAAGATCCGGTGAATACCCTTTCTTCGTGCGTATTCCGCAATGGTGCAAAAGAGGAGGTCTGATATAAAATATAAAATATAAAAATAGAATGATATTGAACAGAGTAGGGAATGCTACCAGAGAAACCCAACTTTCCAATCAAAGCTGGAGCCTTGCTGGTGATCAAGAATGCCAAGATAATTTATATAACTATAACAAGAGGATCTTATTTCTCGTAGAAACGAATAACCCAGCCAGGCCTGTTGGTGCATAGCCAATCTTGAAACATACAATCAATCAATGAAGATGCCATTGCGGATGACGGGACCGGTACCATCCTGGGCCCATGTCACACTCAAGAAGGGGGCGCAGGAGACGACGGCACTTTTCTCTCAACAGACAAAGCCTCTCTATTCTATCCCGAGCCTTGCGGCCTTTCATCATTTCGTATTCGGAATAAATCAAGTGTCACTCGCTAGCGGCTTGCACGGCAAGGTAAATAAACTTGAAGCACAACCGACCAGAAGGCTTCATGTCGCACGATTGGGGCGGAATGGTCCAGAATTGGGAACCAAAATCGCTCAGATTGAGAATTCCAAACGGTAGGGATATCAACTGACGATACTGCAGTCTTCCCCCGCCTTCATACCGTTAGGGCGTTCTCCAATCCTGGGAAGAATGTGGAATAAGTAAGGGACACGGGAGTGTCTGTTGCTCTCCTTATACGCTAAATCTGTAATTAATTCCTTGGTGAGACTGAGACTTCCCACTGTAAACCTCACCGCTGTCGCGTGTGTTAGAGACGACAGGAATGGAACTGGTCCGAGTCTTTGGCATTGGTATCTCTTAACCTATGCGGTGCGGATGTTGTAAGAACGTCGGCCTAAGTGGCTTGACTGTTTAGGCTTAGCGTCCGCTCCAGCCCGCGGAACTCCCTCCAAGGCTTCAATTTTCAGCTTCGATCAGCTACGACGTATTATTATTATTCTTCTTCTCCACCCAATGCCTGGTCTCCAGCCAAATATCAATCCCTCCTGAGCTTTGCCTTTCTTTCTCCTATAGTTACACGTTTTAACTGAAGGAGACCAGGACTACAGGACAGACTCTGCTCTTTACTTTATTGTGAACTGTCCTTCCACCGATAAACTTGCGCATTTCGCTACCCCATGAGCGACGAGGCTACATTTGCGGCGCATCATAAACCGGCGAACACATTCGCTGCGCTATTCCATCCAAATATTTCCTGACTGACACTAGAGAAAGGACATATACATCGTCTTCTCAAGCCTGTGCTCTGGCCCTTCTCGCTGTTACAAGCCCGCGTTTGCACTCGTGCGCCAAAGGAACCCAAATCGAGCGTATTATTTATATATATATTGTTCTATTCCTTCGGCCAAATCCTTCGCAGCATACCGAGCGCGAATTATTTTGAGCCTAATTCAATTTAGAGAGACCAATACATCCTAGCTTACCTCCAGCAGGTTAACGACTATAAATTTTAAGAGACATTCCGATACATCACGATATAGAATGACGAGCCCGTTCCCACCCCTCCCATTTAGCCTGGGCAGATTACGTTCATATATACTTCGTTTACCCCTATTCACACGCGTCGTCACCTTACTCATTGCGGTATTTGGGGTCTTGGGGATTCAGTCGTTATGGGATGTGGTACAATGGGGTGCCTTGATACCCAGCGAGATAGGATTAGCATCGCGTGCGTATACACGTATTTCGTATATTATATATTGCGGCTAATCAGGAAAATCCTCTGTCGGGGAAGTCGGGGGTATTTTTGCATTTGGATTTCCGACGATATTTACTAACGCTTTGTTCTGATTTTTTCAGTGTACCGACTTAACACATATCCGATTATTCATAATGGGTTGTTCCACACGTTCTGGAATATCGTAGCCCTTACACCGCTCTTGGAGAGGTTTGAGGCGGAACACGGCACCCTTACATCTGTAGCATTATTTGTTGGACGTATGTGTTTTTTTGATTGAACACATCCTAGCGCGGGTTTCCTTTCGAATGAGACTAACCGCTATCACTATTCTAGCACTTTCAACCTTGCCAGCAGGCCTATACTTGCTCTTCGAAAAAGTCATTTTAAGGGGCAATACTGCGGTGCTAGGTTCGAGGTAAGTCCTCATATACAGATGCTATGTTAACGAAGCACAAGTAACTTTGCATCTCTATAGTGTCTGGATATTTTTGCTTCTAGGAATTGAAGCAATAAAAACATTCCAAACAAACCCACACTTTGTGTTAGTTTCCCCATTCTTCGCTCTTTTGCCTTGACCATTTGGTTGTCTGCTAGCTACTGACATCTTGCGGACAGTATTGGAACATATAGAATCCCAACGTGGACAACGCCATTGCTCTTAGTAATTTTGGTGTTTGCGCTCGTCCCCAATACCAGCCTCTTGGGCCACTTATCCGGTCTCGCTGTTGGCTATGTTTGTAAGTTCTGTTCTTGCCTCCCCCCGTCCCGGCAATCTCTGCTGTTTGGTTATCATGGAGGCTGACAGATATGAAAAATGAAGTTGGGCTGGGATACCTGAAATTCCTCGTTCCGCCAGAGAAAATCCTTCGCTGGATCGAAGGAAAACTAAACCTTCTCGCAATATTGCCTCACTATGTCTCCGTTGATCAGAAAACGTATGGAAGGTACGGAATCTTGCCCACCAGAAGCTTTGGGTCGAACGAAGAAACTGGGGCAATAAGCCTTCCACTGGGCTCTACCCAACGACTAGGCCCATAAGAATATTTAGCGAAATTGATACGCATGGATTACTTTCTTGTTGTATATATTTATCTTTAGAGTCTCTTGGTTTTATTCTAGGAGACTAGCATATATAATAATGACTGTTGAATAGAGAAAATCAGGAGGTTTGGCTTTAATAATAACGTAAGCGGTCATTGCGGCATGCCGTAGTCTAACTATCTCCAACTCCGCAACTTCGGAGGTCAATCCACCTCGCGCATAGCCATCCGACCTATACAATTAGCTTATGGCCTCGTTGGGATATAATTCCCGGAGGTCTCACCTTCAATGGCATTAATATGTAAGAAATAAATGTCTCCCAGTTCCTCACTCCCCTTCCCAGACAAAGTCCTCTCCCTCATATTTCCCTGGCCACGTTGTTCCTAACGCATCGGATATCATGAAACAGCCAATTTAGTCCTCAGGCTGCGCCGCGATCCACGCCTGTTGTATAAATTCCCCCCATACCTATCCGCCATTCTCGTCGTTGTCGGTGTTGTCTGGCTCCTTCTCCTCCCGCTTAACGAGTACTCCCGCCAAACATACATCTCCGAAAACGCGCTTTTACCAGGCCAGGTACACACGTACTTCGCGGGGAGTGAACAGAATGTCTTTCGCGGATATAGACGGGAAATTGATCTTGTGAGGGATGCGGAATATGAAGTGTACGTGACTTTAGTTTCATTCCGTTTTAACTGGGTCCTGGGACTGCTCTTACGAGCTTGGAGGAGATGGAATACGTTGAATAGTACAAAGTGTCTGGTTGAGATATCCCTTTGATTTTGGTCCTTGTTTGCCCCGTTATCCCAGGGAGAGACAGTCGGCTAACCCTCCGCCTCGTGCTGCTATTGACATAGAATATCTGAAAAAATCCAGTCGATATTCAGAGAATCCGGCTTGAAAGTTGCAACCCAGGATTACGAGTATAGGTCAGCCGGAAACAGACATTCTGGACAGAATGTTTACGGTGTCATTCATGCTCCACGGGGAGACGGGACAGAAGCTATTGTTTTGGTAGCCTCTTGGAAAACCATCGACGGCGAACCAAACCTCAATGGTGTGACTTTGGCCTTGACTCTGGCTAGATATTTCAAGCGTTCGTCTCTCTGAAATAAAGCTAATAACGAGATAGATAAAAAATACTAATACTATGTTGAAAACAGGATGGTCCCTATGGTCCAAAGATATCATATTCCTAATTACGCCGGACAGCAAATCCGGTACACAGGCATGGGTCGACGCCTATCATGATATGCACCCGCCATCCGTTCAACCCCTTCCGCTAAAAAGCGGTGCGTTACAGGGCGCTTTAGTATTCGAATACCCT